TTTTGCAGTAAATATTGATTTATAATATTTCATTATTTGTTTTCTATCTCTCTCATTATATATATATTTAGAATCCATTTTACATATACATGTGTACATCGGAACGATTTCGTCGACAATTTGTTTATGTATTATCTAAGATCTATTGGAATCGGTGTAAAGGAAGACCAGGAATTGTTAATAATCAAGTGATGCCGCATGCATAAATAAATAACTAATGAACGACTGTTAACATCAATATCAATATCAATATCAATATAGTACTTATTTATTACATACAAATATATTTATGAAAGTATTTTAAAGACTAATATTATATGTAAATTATAAAGACATATAAGGTTTAAAACTTGTTTTCAATATATCATCTTTTATTTTAAAGGAAACTGTTGTAAAAATATATATGCTCTTGAATGTTTTGTTTACTCGTATAGTCTATGTGAAAAGTCAATAAATGAATATCTATCAATCGAGAAGATCTTTATACAGAATACGATGATGTGTCAACAAAGGAAAAAGGAAAATCAATATAGGCTATTTTAAAAATATGAGTAGATTAAATCTTATATAGAAAATTAATTAGAAGTATACCTTTGATTAATAAAAGACATGAGAAAGATAAGTCAAGTTGAAAAGAATACATATATATCATAAGTTCTATTTTTGTATTATAAGAATTAAAGAAAAACTATAGCAATTAACTCTGATGAAATACATTTATTAATTAAAAGAAAACCGTTATTAAAAGATCACATCTCAATAATCAATAAAAGATATAAGTAGAATAATCCAGAAAAAGTAAGTGAACTCATTAATTTTAACGAATTATCTGAAGAAAAATATATTTGGTCTTTGATATATCAAAAAGTTAAATTAGACAGTTTAATAATTATGTCTATTTTTCTATTATATACTATCAAAGTTCAGACATGATAATTAATATTCGAAATATAAGAAAAGAAATTATTCCCATTAAAAACGAGTCATTATTGTTTGAAAAAGACTAGGATATTAAAGTAAATAAATTGATGTTATCCCTTTTTCTTTTTGTCCTAAAAAAGATCTTGTTTGTTTTATATTTACTTCAAAATATTAAACATCTTTTTTACCAAACGACTTCTTGTAAATACTCATAAAATGAGTAAAAACTCTTATTTATAATACCTTTCAAAAATTTAAGCGAAAGACTTTTTTTCTTATTCATTAAACAGTCGATGAAAGTCAACAAAAAATCAAGTACTAAATAATTCTCAATCGAATTGCATTAAAAGAAATACTCCAGTATTATAGAATAAATAAAACTGTTTTTATCTAATTTTTTTTCTTACAGTCGAGCAAATATAATAAGACGAAAAACTCTTTTATAGGACACTGGTATATGTCTCTCGGGATTTCCTACTTGCATATTTTTTGTAATTTTTAAAAATATTTTTGTCTGAAATATATGTTTATAGACAATGAATAAATAAATTTAAGAGAAAAAATAGTTCATTTGTTTTCACTGCGCATTTTCTTCAAATAAGTTGATCAATAAAAAATATTTGAGTTGTTTACAATGGTATTGGTGATTGAATATAAATTATGGATAATTATGATGATTTTAAAACAATTATCAGGTAATCAGATAGTTAGTTTTGTGATAAATATTTTCTCGTAATGCGATATCTCTTAAGAATTTATTCGCGATTTATAAATGTTCTGAAATATATGAAATTTTCGATGAATAGATTTTAATTCTATTTTAAGGGTATTTATTTATTTGATAGTAAAAATATAGTTTGTTACTTCATCGATAGTTTAAGCTGCAAAAGTTTTATAATCTTACAATAAATATCAAAGTTTTAATGATTTCAATAATTAAATATGTTTTTTTTCTTGTCTTTTAGCTGTTTCTTATAATCAACCAAGATTGTGTCCAAATGCATCATGGGAATTAAATGGAACAAATTTCATAACAAGTTATGTTGCTGGAGCTTATAGTGGTATTTTTATCAATACCAATAACACGATATATATTCCTAATAATGTAAGTGGTAGCATCCAGATATGGTCTAATGAAAGTTCTAATTCATTAACGACACTTTCTGCCAATTTGTCAAATCCATATTCTATATTTGTTACAACTAATGGTGATATTTATGTTGATAATGCATACTCGTATGGTCGAGTGGATAAATGGACAAATAATGGAAGTAACAGATCTACTGCAATGTTTGTTAATTCAGCATGTTACGGTCTGTTTGTTGATATTAATGATACACTTTACTATTCAATAAGTAGTCTTAATCAAGTTGTCAAAAAATTGTTGAATGATCCTTCAAGTACATTGACAGTTGCTGCTGGTGGAAATGGTGCTGGATCCACGCCAGATACGCTTCAAAATCCTAGTGGAATCTTTGTTGATGTTAATTTTGATTTATATGTAGCAGATTGTGGAAACAATCGAATTCAATTGTTTTTATTGGGACAATCAAATGGAACAACAGTTGCAGGAAATGGATTACTCAATTGTCCTCGTGGAATTGTTTTAGATTCTCATAACCAACTCTATATTGTGGATAGTAGTCATAATCGTATTGTTAGATCAGGACTCAATGGTTCTCAATGTATAATTGGATGTCCTAATCAACCTGGTTTATCGTCTGATATATTGTCTCTTCCAAGGACTCTTTATTTCGACAGTCACGGAAATATATTTGTCACTGATTATGGAAACAATCGTACTCAAAGATTTGATTTATTGAACAATTTATGTGATAAGTACATATGATTTATTCGATTGAAGAAAATAGTTATAGAGAGAAATTCAAATTATATCATACATTTTTCCGTTTGCTTATTTTCAATTAAAATATGTATATAATTGATTACTCTTGAGAACTTTTATGTAAGGCGATATTTTATTTGAATTATTTGGAGAATATTATGCGAATGAAATTTATTTTATGTAGATGACCATACAACACAACAATCGATGATGACAACAACAAGTGCAGGAGGTAATTCTCATCTATTTCATTTCTCTTTTTATTATATTAACTTATTCTTAATTCTAGTAAGCATTTCATCAACAATTATTAACCAAAATCTTTTGACAACTGACACAACTGTATTTGATCAGAGAGGTATCTAAGATTAGGATACATTTTTTCTCATATCGTTTTCTAATAAAATCGAAAAAAAATAATCATTATTTTTTAAAATAAATAGATTACCTTTTGAGGAGGACACAACTTATACTAATTTACTTATCGATTTCATCTTACTCAAAAATCAAGCTTTCAAAATTATAATAATTCCATTTATCATAGATAATGAAATTATTAGATATATTTCTAATGTCTTTCTTTATAGGAACAACCAATCAAGAAACAACGTCTGGAATGAGTTCATTGATAAGCATTACTAGTACAACTTCATTATCAAAAACAACATATGAAACGAGTTCAGTGACAAACCATTACGGTAACCTTGTTCTTTCTCAAACTCAAATAAAAGTTTAATTTTTTGAAGATTTTACTTCAGTTACGTCATCTGATCAGTTTACAACAAGTTTGCCGACATAATATTTTCTATTTTATTATTTTTTTTTTGATTTTTTAGCTCAATCACTCTCACTATTACCTTTTTTTGTTGCACCACCATGCTCGAATGAATACAAAATTGGTATGAATTGTAGTAGTTCAATCGCACCATGTGATATACTCAATCCATGTCAAAATTATGGTACTTGTTTCAATGATAATGAAACTCTCTATGGTTATACTTGCAATTGTACATCAGATTTTAGTGGTAGTGAATGTGAAATTAATACATGTTGGAATAATGGTATAAAATATTTTCGTTTACTTTTTCATAAAAATATAAATCAATTATATTTTAGGTACATGTATTGAACGAGCAGCAACAACATTTAATTGTTCATGTCAATCTGGATGGCAAGGTCTTTATTGTGAAATAAAGATAAACTATTGTGAAAATGTAACATGTTTTAATTCTGGTATATGTCGATCATTATTACTCGATTATACATGTGAATGTCTTAGTGAAAGTTTTACTGGAAGACATTGTGAAATAACTCAAAAAACAATGGTTATTCATCAAATGGTTTCGAAATCAATTGGTTATATATCAATTATTTTTATTGTCGGAGTTTGTATGTTCTTCGTCATTATAGATATACTTAAATATTGTTTTCGTATTGATCCAGCAAAATCTCAATTAAAAAAAACTCAACAAAAAAACGACCAAAAAAAGCAAAACGTCCATTAATCATTCAAAAATTTGCTTATGTTAATGCATCACCTTTGCAAGCAAAAATTCAACAAGAATCATCACTTATTAAAAGAACAAATATTTAAAATAAAATATATCTTTTTTTTTTATAAAATTGTATATGCTTAAATATCAATATCAATTACTCATAAAAATTTCGAATGTTCAATATTCTAAACCTTTTAAAAGCACTAATCGACCCACATATGGAAGGCCTCGCGCATCGTTGTCAATTATCTATATTTGTACTAGGGGTAATGGTGACTCACCTTGAAAATAATATTTTTCCGTTCTACTTAACCAAAAGAAAAGCGATAAAATACACGCCTAGATATGAATCAGAATAAAACTTATTGCATATATTAATTGCACAACTTGTTTACAACATCGATTGTGAGTATTAACTGCCATATTGAGTATGTATAGTTTTTATTCTGAATCATATTACCAACAAAATAAAGACAAATGACACATGTATACTTTTCTTTGCCACGTTTTTGTAATCTTTCACCATACTTAAGCAACCTATGTGAATGCATGTATATAAAGCAAACGTTTTAATCATTTTGCACTACATTTATTTCAAATCAACTATTACGAAAAAACAATGACTCAATCAAATAAGACTTCAGCTTCTGAACAAATGAATGAAGATAACCGAATTGGTGTAAGTAAAAAATGATACTTATCTACGATCATTAATAATATCGATTTAAAAATTTCTTCGTTGTTTTTAGCCATTTGTTGTCGAACCTAAATATGATTGTCCTCATTTGGGTGACCGTGCTTATATCTTACTTCAACCAAATCAAACAAATGAAAATCAACAACCACCATGTACTGATTGTAATAAAACACAAGAAAATTGGGCTTGTCTACATGAAAATTGTGAATTTGTAAGATATTCATCAATAAATTCTATGTCATTACATATATTTTATTTATTTTGAATAGGTTGGCTGTTCTCGTTATCACCAAAAACATATGTTAAAACATCATGAAACAACTGGACATAATATTTGTCTAAGCTTCTCAGATAATTCAGTTTTCTGCTATGCATGTGACAGTTACATCGACAGTCCCCAATTACAAGGACTTAGTGTGCTACTCAGTTGCCGTGGACGATAAATCAAACAAGAAATATATAAAACTTCTATATGAATATAAATTTTATTTTTATTTTGCATTAATTTTAAATGTTTTAATGAGTTAATAAAATAGTCAAGAAAAAGTCAATATATAACAAAGATGAAAAGATTATTTTTACTATGCAGGATTTAATTGAGCCAAAATATCTTTATCGACACAAATCAATATAATTCAAGCTGACTGTTATCAACCTATGACATTTTTTAGAACAACAAATACTAGGGTATTCTATCTTGAAGTCTAGGAATCGATAAACTTATAAAATCTGATCGATATCTAAATTTGATTCATGTTAATCAATGGTTATTATTTGTTTTAATTTGATGAATTTATATAGCACTTATATTATTTTAAACATAGAATCTTTGATAATATTAATTTATTGTTGTTGCATATGATTTTGATCATTGGTATTAATATTGGAAATCTTCTATTTTTTACTGTTGTTTTTATAAATATAATTTTTTTTTCTAAGTTATCTTATTCATTAGATAGAAATCATTTTCAGTTGATTTAGTTTTTTCAGTAGATAATGTAGAGTATTACTACCATCGATATATTCTAGTTTTAAATTATATTAGTCAAACTGTCGTGCTTGTAACGAGATAAACGTATAGTAGTTTCTGTAGATCATACTAGTTAAAAATAAACAACAAAAAAGAATCAGATCAATATATGAAATTTTATCAAGATATCTTCGTCATATTTCTCTTAGTTCTCGATCAACAAAGTATAACCAGTACGAAACATTGTGTGAACTCTTTTGAATCAGAGAAAAGATGTTTTTTTTATAGTATGCATAATAACACATAATTATAATCCGTATGAGACAAAAGTGGGATGATTATAGACTTTAAATAGTATGAATAATAAACAATTATAACTGAAAATGATAGATAATACTGACTCTTTTCGAACATCATTTATATGTTCATCCCATCTGATATTGAATTTGTACTGATCATCTACAGTAAATATATATAGAAAAAATCAATATTAAAGTTTGTTACTATCCATATTGATCCAGTTTTTGACGAGAAGAGTTTTTTTTTGAAGTTACAAGTAAAAAGACAAAAACAATAAAGAAAAGAAATAATTAAGCATGGATCGGATTATTTCAAGATTGTAAAATATAACGCATTAAAAAGTTTGTTTACATTTTTATCGTTGATATCAATGAATTTGAACGTAAAAATGAAAAATAATTTAACAAATGAACATGTATTTCTTCATAATTATCCGTAGATTCAGAATAAAAAATCAGTTGTATTACATTTTATTCTAAATATATTTGCGGGTTCGGGCTGTAATAAATAGAATAAACGACAGGAACATCTTGTATAAAAAAAATTGAGATAGTTATTACATAAAATATACAGAGAAGAATGAATGCAATGAGTCGACATGTTATTTGACGGATGCAATATCTGTTGTTCCATGATCTTGGATAACCAAGCATACCGATACCGATGAGAAAGCCAACTAAACCACCACCAACATGAGCTGAATGAGCTACATTGAATTTAATTATTAGAGGTATACTAACAACAATATGAGGTAATAAAAGTAAGGTTAATTGTAAGATTAAAAAACGACGTTGTTCAACATTTGCTTGAATTGCAATAAGACGATCAACAATTAAGAATAACATTAAACCGTACAAAGAACCGGAAGCTCCTGTAGCTTCTAAAGAAAATAAATAGAATGATTTATTTCAAATGCATTAAGAACTAGGATGACATTTGCATTTATCATGAGATTATAATCTACATCTACTTAGAAAAGGCAAAAAATTCCACCCGTCACTCGCATATTCCCATTAAAATTTTATAACTAGTAATTATTAAAATAATAAACTATTTTCTATTCAAATATCGTCATATAAATCCTTATATATTTCAAAACATTATTATCTATTTACGCTCATTCATAAAAAAAAAAAGAAAGATCATAAATAATTAATTTACCTTCTGTTCTATGTAATGTCATGAAACTTAAATTAGCACCTAAACCTGAAAGCCAGTAAATAATTGCTATACAAATTGAACCATATTTACGTTCTAACGGTATACCTTGTACAAGTTGTGCTAAAAGATTACTTAATAAATGTAACCATTCTAAATGTGAAAAATTAACAGTAATCATTCGCCATAATTGATTAGGATATAAGAAAGAAAAACATGTTTGTTTGAGTACTTCATCATAGTAGCACGTTCCATTCGTCGTCAATCGAATACATTTAACAACACGACTGCGAATAAAATGAGATGTTGGACGCATACATGGTATATAAAGTTTGAAAAGATGATATAAAGTCATTGCGAAATGTTGATCTTTTTTGCTATCATAAATGAATCGTGAGAAATAAATGGAGATATGTAAAATACTAATAGCAATGATAAATAATGGAAGATGTTGTTTTTTATTTGGTACATCATTAAGATTAAAAATACGTCGAATAAATGATTTAATATTATAGTTTGTAGTAGAAACTGGTCTTGCAATTTGTATTGTAAATGGTTCTTCTAATTCTAGACTAGATGCATCATATTTACTCATTATTCTACTGAAGTAGTTCACAACTTTTTCTTTCTCGTGATATTACTATATATTCAGGAAGAAAAATATTTACGTTCGTTCTCTTCTTTTTTGTTACGAAGCTTGTTTTATAGATGTTGGTGAAATATGTAGTTCTTTTTTTTCTAATATTTAGACGAGAGAAAGATGACTCAAAGGCATTTCTTTTCTTTTCTGTTCTGTATTATAAAAGATTTCCTCAACTATCATCATAAAATATGTATTCCGATTGGCTCTGTCAAGCGAACTAAATATCGCTACTGTCGATTAACTTCTGTTCCCTCCAATTAAAGACATGCGTGATATGTAAGAAAAAAAAAAGAAATTAAATAATTGACTTTGTATTTACAAGACTTATCAAAGATTAAAATGAAAAACATAAGAAATTTTTAGTACTATAAATCAATTGATTTATTATTTTTCTTTATAAAGTAATCCGTTGACTAAAATTAATCTATTCAGAAATATTCTCACATAATTTTATTTCTTAATTATGTGAAGTAGTTTGCATTCTATTAGAATAAAGTACATATGTCAAGCTATAAAAGACACATTTATCTTTTTTTATTACACAATTATGGATATAAGTTCCAGTTTCTATAACGTGGTAATTTTTATTAACATTCTTCTGTTCATGATTACCTTCTGCTTCGTTCTATCGTTCTTCAATGCTAATGATGATATATATATATCGAATGACAATAATTGCTTGTACAGCTTGTATATCGATTCACTTACTATTAGTCAATATGCTGTCATCTGAATATCAATGTTAACCAAAGTATAGAAAACGATCCTTTTACTATAACAATACATAATCATAAATCATATTTGATTATCTAATTGAAAAAAAGCTGATTATTTCAAAATAAATTTATTTAACTATAGTATTTGAATATGTAAGTATTTTAAAATCTTTTAGAAAGCACATGACATATCAGTTAATTCTGGTTCATGATGTAATTTTTTTTTGTTATTCTTGGTTGTATATTGAGGAAAACATAAATTAAGTAATGGTCTGAAAAAAAGTTTATATAATAAAAATAGAAGACCAAAAATTTCCAAACAAACAATTGTAAATAAAATATTATGAAAAATAATTTCCGATCGTTTTGCAATTGGTTGTTGTAAATTTTTTACATAATATGGTGTTTCACTAATAACAATAGTTAACGTTGTTAATGTTGATGTTGAACGAACATATTGATCTTGTGTTAAAAATAAACTATTTATATCGACTACAAATGTTGGAATAAATATTCCATGAAAATTTGATTCTTCACCAATCATTGCATTTGTTTCATTGATTACTTTTGTTATATCGAGAGTAACCGGTAAATTTTGTCCTAAAGTTTCTCCT